TGATGTTGACTCACTTTCTAGGGCTACAAGGCACAGCTGCCAGCACCAAAGAGAAGCTCGATTCTTGATCCCCTCAAGTAGCAGAAACAACTCTAGGCAGTTTTTAAGCTGGTAACATAGAAACAGGGCACAGATAAATGTTGTCTTTTAAAAAATTCAGTATGAGTTAAAATATACCTTGATCAGTCAACTAAATTACTGCTAAAGCATCACTAGGAAAGTTTCCTAAAGCACTCCATGCTTGTAAAAAGGGCCAGCATAAAGTATAGCAGATAAAAGTCCCAGAAAGATTTTGGAAATGGCATTAATGAATGTAAATGTTCATCATTAAGAGAAAAGGTGTCTCTGAGTCTGAGTTGAATGATTCTTTTTGTCGCATATGATATGCACTCTTCTAGTTATGTACAGGCCAGGCTCAGAGTTTTAGACAGTGTTAACTCCCAGTCATGTGATCCTCAGAGACACCCGGTCAATATCACTAACCTAACTCATAAACTGAGTTTTTATTATTGCAAACCACTGGTTGTGTGTGTGCGTACACACACGTGGCTGTCAAGCATTACTTTTGTCATAATAGATAATTGCGCAAATATGTTTTAATTTATTTGACATTTCTGAGTTTGACATCTTACTTGAAACTTCTATGGGAGAAAGATTTGTTAGTAAATCCTCACAGTTAGCATCTCCTGATATTCTGTATACTGTGCAGATTGCCATCTAATATTGAGCAGCCACTTTCAGCTAAATGCTCTCTCCAGTGCTCTTTTTTAATCCTCTTAACAACTCTAAAAATTAATTTCACTATTTTGGGAAAATTTGAAAAAATGGGGAACTTTGAGGCAGACTGATGAAATGATTTATCTAAAGTCACATAAATTGGCACAATCAGGGTCAAAGCCTCAGACCTCTAAGTCCAACTGCATTTTCCATTACATCAGAAATGATAACCAAGATGTAAAACTACAGAATGTTATTCTGTCCCAAGTCAATAAAGACTGAGAAAGTTTGTTCAAAGAAGGCAACTGAGTTTTTATTCCACCATCTAAGATAACTGAAGTATTTGACTGTTACGGGACTATTTCTTCAAGCATGCCATCCTCAGCATTCTTGTTAGAATTAATGGTCTTTAAGATATTGCTAATCCCAGTTGAGAAAATAACCCAGACACCCAAAGAGACCAAATTGCATAGAACACCCATTTCCCAGTTTAATCTTAGAAAGGATTTTATAATCAACACCCCTTTCTAGCCAACATTAGTTATTCCTTGGTGGCAATGTTGGTTAGGGAAAAAAAAAACCCAAATTCACTCTTACACTGGTCAGATATAAATTGGGGAAGAGTGGATACACAAAATATATGCCCACTTTCAAAGGTGATCTTTTGAAGAATATATGAACAAAGCCAGATTCTTAGACAGTTTTCCCTTTTGTAATTTCAATTCTGGAAAAATACTAAAACAAATCAATAAAGTGTTCTAAGATAAGGCAGTTTTTTTAGAGACTTCTTTAATTGACAGGGGTTAGGAATAGACTAGAAAACTAAAGGGGAAAGCAGGGCACAGAAAGAATGAAGTTGACATTTTGACAAATAAAAATCATACCATATGACATTCTACACAGAAACTGTTAGAAACTTTGAACCCCAAAATTTAGTTTACTAAATCTAGATAGATTTTATTAACTTACATATGATTTTATGTTAAATTTAAGTACCTGGATACTAAAATGATAAAGGACAGAAAATAATGCCTTAGCTAAAAGTTAAACTTTAAAAAGATATTTTGTCAGTGGTTTTCATTTTAGAATGAAAAATTTGAACTTTCCTTTGCTTATTTCCTCTATGCACATAACTTGTAGCAGAAATTCCCCCCCTTTAACAACTTCAGAGCATCCCAAGAATCCACAGTCATTGCAGGCCACTACTTCTGTTACAGACGAATGCATTCAATTATCTCTTTAAAATTCAATTCTTTAAAAAATGTGTTTGTGATTGATCTATGTACGTTTTTTAAATGTGTTGCTACCACATGCTATTATTCAAGATCTTGATTTAAAAGTTGGAATGAAGTACCTGTGGTTCTTGGATAAAACAAAGACACTAATCTGTTTTGTCAATATAAAAGGGCAACATAGATAATCCTATAAAATACTTTTATTCCAGATGGTAAGCTAGGCTTGTTTAAATCTTCATTTTTCCCACTGTAGTCCTAACAGACTTTTAAACAATCATTTAAAAGTGGGTCATTTGTATTAAAATCTTATTTACATGGCACTTATATTTTAATAAATAGTGTGACCAAATACTGCCTACAAGTCAATATAAAGATAAAATCTCTCATGGAAAAATAAAAAGAACTAGTAAGATTTAAAATCAATATGTGAATTTCTAGCTTATGTTCAAGATAGGTGGCCTCAGTAGAGAATTGTTGTTGGGCAGTGGTTAAGGCCTCTGATGATTTGATACTTACCAGAAAATTCACACATACAGATAATTCTGCTAAAATTTCAGTAGGTTCTCTAGACAAACAATCTGTAAGTGAGCAAGCTATAAGTGAGCAAAATATCAAGTTTCACTTATACATACACATAGGCTACCAGTGTGTATGTAGCAACTTTTCCATCCCCAAATATGTAGTCCAACTGTGCCTGGGTTATGGCTGGTATTCTCAGAACCATTATCCCAAAGTGACTTGCTCAGTAATACAACTTCAATATAGACTAGGAAACCCAAAGCATACAGATATCTAGGTTCTATTATTACATGTAGGCTTCACAGTAGCATCTATTCAGCCTGTTATCAATTTTCTACTCACCATATATGGCAGTGCCTCAGTATTTTGTCCAGTTTCATGCATGCACATTCAGACATGAGCAAGAATTCTGTTCCAAAACCTCATTCTGACTTCCTTCCAGTCTTCTCCATCTCTCCGAATTGAATTTGGTATTGAACACTGGGTTTAAACAGTATTTTGACCATCTTCCTGGACCACACTGTTCAATTGAGAAGCACCTCCTCCTTTCTCTGTGATTATACCTCTTTCATAAACTTCTTTAAAACTTTTAAAGTAATCTTATTACCAAATAACATTAAGAAAGGTGCAGAGGCAGCCAAAAACTTTTGAAGACATAATGTAAAAACTGGCAAATCCCCACCTCAAAACTCCATTTATTCTATAACCAACACAGTCATGTAAGCTTGAACTGGAGCACAGTAACACATTCTTTTGTAGCTTCCTAAAGAGCATGCTTAGTCTCTAAGCATGTTGACTTACCACTGACCTTGTTACCTCGAAGTCTGATTCCATCTTGCTGATGTGGTTGACTTTAAGATAATTATTACAAGTCTTAACTATGCAAAGTAGAGTGTCATTTTTTTAAATAAAATTATCAGTTAAACCAATTACACAAAAATTTCCATCCATATTTATTGCAGAAGACCGCTTTTGTTATGTATAAACTTGGGTGTTTCTTGTGAGTTTTTACATTTGTAAACTTTAATTTCTAGGTTGGATTAATTATATAGTCATTTTTAGAGATGGAGTCTATGTTGCCCAGGCTGGTCTGGAACTCCTGGGCTCAACTGACCCTCTAGCACCAGCCTCCATCTGGGACTACAGATGCATGCTACCATGCCTGGCTATTCATAATATATTTTGATGAAAAGCATAAGTTTGTCAAAAAGGAAGCTGGACAACTATATGGTACAAACATGTTTTTCAGTAGCAAATGAATAGTCTTCATGCTAGGTCTTAGACATAGCTGGTGCTTAAAATGACTGTATTGGATTACATCTGTTTGATACTAATATGAATGCTTCCTACACTAAAAGGCTTCTAACCTTTGGGAAAAAAAGAGGAAGAATGTGCCAAGCGGGGAGGGAGGCCATATACCTTAATACTTCTCCTAAACTCTTTAGTCCCTTGACGAGCATGTGCAAATTATGGATACTAGGGCCATTATAAAAATCTCCTGGTACAGATAATCAGTGTCATTATAGTAGGCTAATCAGCAGTTAAGTGTTCCCTGTGTGAGGCGACAATCAAGAAGGATCTCCTCTAGTCATTTGTCAACTAAAGGGATGTTGTAGATTAATGTTGAAAGAATCCTCTAAGATTGTTGCATGTTGTGACAATTTTAGTAAACCTATTTTAAATTTTTTTCCAATGTTGTAACAATTTTAGTAAACCTGTTTTAAGTTTTTTTCCAATATGGCAAGTGATATTCTCGCCTTGAAATAAAAAAAAATAAGTTTTCCCCCGATAAAAAAATTGTTGATAAAACTATGCTAGTCCCCGGGCTGTTCATTGCCAAGCAGAATAGTGTATTTTAGCTTCTGAGGTCCCTTTTTGTTTCATCCTAAAACATGTTTAAAATTGTTTGAAGAAAACAGTCTGCAAACCAGAATAATATTAATTCCTCCACAGAACTCAGCTCTTGCAAAGCACAAAGAAGCCAGATCTAAAAAGTTTAAGTTTTTCGATTATTTCATGCCAATAATATAACTATCAGATTATGTCTTATCTAATATTTTTCAATGAAGACTTATAAAAAAAATATATTTGCTTTTTTGTTAAAAGCACATTTCATGAGTAAAACTTGTCACCTTCTGATTCTTGTTTACAGCAAAAATCTTACATATTAAATCAACAATTTGGCACAGGAAAGCTCTGAAATGAACTAAAGTGCATAACTAGCAGTGTGTGTGTGTGTGTGTGTGTGTGTGTGTGTGTGTGTGTGTGTGTGTGTGTGTGTGTGTAGTATGTTAAGCAGTACCTATCTGCCAGGAGGGTGGGGATGATCTTTATACATAACACCAAATCTAAAAAATAAAAAGATACACTCTTAAGATCATACTTCCGTATGTGAAATATACACAAATCTTTTTGTTTCCTTATGAAATTTAGGAAGTGAACACCAAAATGTAATCTCCTCTCAAAAAAGATCAATTTAAGTAAAAATCAATGTAAACAATTAAAAATTAGTCCCATAGTAACACAATAAACAACTCAAATGGCTTTTTTTAATGCTAGGAAAACTGTCCACTTTCAATGGTGACAGTACTGTTAACACAGGTAGAGAGCAAACAAGGTAAAAAGTGAAAGCACATACAGATGCACATAAATATATATAAAAGTTGACCAGAAATCACAGGACATGTAAAGCAATGTTTTCTTAAGCAGTTTTTTTCTTTTCTTTTTTTTTTTTTTGTACTTTAAATAAACTAAAATATTTGGTGTGGGTGGGGGAAGGAAATCAGTATTCAATAATTTTAACTTGAAAACCAGCTGTAATAAAGCCTCAGCTCATTGTTTAATAAAAAGGACATCATACTTTTGACAATCATAGAATGAAAGCTTACAAAGAACACATTTAACATCTCCATCACAGTGCACAAAGGATGCAGCCACTGAGGACTACCAGAGGGAAACAAGAACAGAGTCTGCATCCATCATATTGCATTACAAAGTTAATGCCATATTAGAAAAATCTTACCTCATGTGCTCAGTCTAGCTGGTAAGCACCATAGGAGTAGGAGGCTAAGGAATTGAGAGCAACTGCTCAGTCTGTATCAGGACACTCAATTCCTTCACCTGCCACTGGCTGATGCATTTAATAATTTCAATACAATAGTCACCAAAAGAAATATAATACCACATTCTGGCTTCTTGAACAGGATAGACTGGAAAATGCAGTATAGGCCAGAGCGTCAAAGGCCGTTATTTTCTCTCACAAGAAAAGAAATCCACAATCACACTTAGTTTTCTTTTACTGTGAAAAATCTAAATTTCAGATTAAATTTAACCCCATAAGGACACATGATCTGTACTGACATCTGTACACAGGTTCAGAAGAATTTAGCTATCTAGCTGCTTCTTCTCTGTTCCATTAAACCACCAGTTACCTTTGCTGGACCACTAAGTGTTAGTCTCACCACCATGATGGTACTTATAGCTATTATTTGATATAAATGTCACGTTCTACCCACAGTAATATGTGATCGGACAACACATATCCCAATAAGTATCAGAAATGTTGACAGCCATAGTTACTACTAAATTCAGCTGCCCTATCACAACATAAAGAAGTGAGGGCAACACAAGAACACCTCAAGTGCTCGGCTCTTCCTGGTGTGCCTAGGACTTGCCAGGGTTTAGCAATGAAAATCCTGCATCCAGAAAAATCTCTTGGTCCCAGGCAACACCAGGGCAGCTGGGTGCCTTAAACACATCACTCACTCCTCCCTTAAAATTGCTAGAGAAAAGGTAAGAATTTTCAAGAGCATAAGGCTACCTTTAAGGGTATTAGGCCCACCCTCCCAAGTATTTTTAGGTTACTTGCTAATGGCTAGTTCCTCCAAGCTTGCTAAAAAGCTAGGAAGTCCAGAAATAGCGTATTTAAAGGTGGTAACTAAGAATAGTTGGTAGTAATCAAGCAAATTAGTGAGCAGTGTATCAAAGTTCACTCTTGAAATCAGTTTTCAGACAAATTTTCTAAAGGTTCTTCTGGCTTTGTCCAGTTATATAGTATATAGTATCTTATTGTATCTTTTTGAGATTAATCCAGTTTTAGAGGTCTTTTCACATTCTTTTTTTAGGTGAAAACATTCTTATGCCAACTATTTCCCACATTTTTGTGTCATATATTGAAAAGATTGCCAAATGGAGATACTTCCCACAGATTACAAAGACCCAGAATGTTACTTTTAACTGTGCTCCACCAGAAGATCTGGCCTTGGGAAAAGATGGCAAAAAGAATATTTTCAGATATGAACATTTTTATTTTGCCTACAATGCTGTAATCTAGTTTAACAATTGCGGAACTGCTTCCATTTTAATCTCTATAGTTTTTCTTGCTTTTGTATAAAATGGTTAATGTCACAGCTTCACTATCACTACTAAAAAGATACAAATATTTATGTCTTAAAAGTCAGGGTCAAAAAACCAAAAATGAGGTCTGAGGTAAAGCTGGTGTAAGAAAATACTAATTTGGCTTCTGCATTTTGCCAAATTTAAAAAAAAAACAACCTCAAAATCCATGCATGTTACCTACTTGTTACATATATGATAATTATTTCTCACAAGTTTAATCTGTGTGTATTAGTTACGCAACCAACAAATGATCACATTTTTAAGGCAGGTACATATATTCACCAGAAAATGACCCTACAGTTCTCAACTTTTTTTCAGTTTGAACAATCAAGAATGTGAATAATAACAATGGCAAACATTTTCTTAAGGACTTAATGAAAAAAGAAAAATCTTATTGGAAGAACAGAGACTTTAATAAGATTTCTATTCCTACAGACAAATGCTGAGAACCAACTTTATGATACAGCATTGTAAAGGGTAGAACTTAATATAGAACTAGAAATATGCCAAGTTACCTAGTGACTAACATTGTAAAATAGCCAAAAACTTTAAAGCCACAGGGAAAAAGGAGAACAGTCAATTGTGAGAAATGGAAAATATACAATATCTAAGTATTTTTATAATTCTGTACCTTCACTTTTGTCCTAAAATCAACATAATACAGATCTCACTGTTCAATAAATTATCATCTTTAATTAGAAACAGGAAGTAAATCTCTATCCCCCATCCAGAACACATTGGGAATTTTGGAGAAACTAAGCTCTTATTTCTTTGGAGGGTAGGAGAATGTTATTTTCCTTGCAATGGTGAATTTGGGGGTCCATTATGGATCTCATGGGAGCAAAACAAGTGACACTGAAGTTAACTAATGTTAATATGCTCTGGCCAGATCCCCTGTGGGTCAGGGATGGTCAAAGAAAGAAACCTTGGAAAATCCAATTCTGTTGAGCACAGCTAAGAAAATCAGATCTGAACCACCTCCAGGCTTTGAGATACACGAAAACTTGACCTTGCAGGGGTACTTCACTGGGTAACTTAGGCAGTAATGTCACACCAAGGGAAGAATTAAAGGAGGGCACAATCTAACAGATAGGAAGGAAGAAAAGAAAGGAGGGAGGGAGGGAGGGATGGAGATGGGAGGAAGAAAGAAGGAAAGGAAAAGGGAAAAGGAGGAGAGGGAAGACAGAAAAGGAGGGATGGAGGGAAGGAAAGGAAGAAAAGTCAACCCTAAGTTGGTATGTTCCAGAGACCGTTGGATGTGTAATAATTTAGTGAAGGGGTATATGACAGAGCTTTATTTGATATTAATGAATTCTGGCTATGATTCTTAGTTGTGAAGTTGCCTAAAAATGGCATACTAACTGAACTGCCAAATTAGGACTATGGCAGGAAAAAAATCTACTCTGATGGTCTGTCCATAAAAAGAAAATGTCTACAAGCAAATTAACAACTTTTTATTGAGATGTGAGATATGAACAATGGAATCATTTAACACTGTTAAAATGACCCCAACTCTTAATTTTCTATGTGTGTAAGTGTATATATATAAATTCATACATATACATTATATACTTTATTTTCTACTAAAAAGATTGAGGCAGTTCTGCTATATATTAAGTTAGCTATAATATCCAAGATAAAATAGCTCCTACTCAAGAAATTACATGAACATATGAGACAAGTTTTTATCATAAAGGCTATCATGAGGCTATTGAGTATAGCTCATATTTCCTGGTTGTGAGGCTCAAAACAAGAATTTTACTCCAAGAAATAATTTGCCCCTCAATCACCACATACAAAATACCTACACAAACAAAATATTAATGAAAATTTGAAAAGGAAGGTATAAACGGAATTCAACAGCAGGACTCTGTGACTACCTCTGGCGACCACACACTATCATCATTACTCCTGATTGTTCTGAATACATGTTGCAACAATCCAATATGCTTCAAGATGGAAACAGGGCTGGTATTATAGGGAAAACACTGGCTGCAAACTGCCAGAAAAGTTCATTAGCTTAAACATAAATTAAAATACAATCTGATAATGTATGTCAATTGCCAGTCACAAAGACATTTAACTGGAAACAAATTTCTGAGGAATTTTTAGGATTTAAGTGATTGACCAATTTGAGCTTATCAACCTTCATGTTAAAGAAATTAGGAGTCAGGCATGAAAAGCACCCTCCATTTTTTGGTTATTAAGTTCAAAGGAGAGAAACATTCTGATATATGCAGAATGGCTGACAGGAAAAGGGGCAATCAGCAAGTACACCTGTATACATATTGTCAGGAGAAGAAAGGAAGAATAAAATTCAGTTGATAAACAGAAAATGTTCGATATGTCTAAACATCAAAGCCCTAGATCACAGTAAGAAAAAAGATCACTCATTGCTCATGTCCACAGATTCAGTTATCTAAAGAGATACTTGCAGGGTGGGGTAGGGGTGGGAGGCCTTGGCATGTTCTGCGGGCCAAACTGAGAAACTGTAATGTTTACCTTTTAAAGCAAAGACTATATATGAAGTACAGTCATGATTGCCTTGTGTTACTTTATATGCCCTATTCTACCCTCAGACAAGGAGGGTGCCTAATATTGAATAAATGCCCAAAGTATTTAGCAACTGAAAAAAAAAAAAGACAGAAGGATCTTAAGGGTGTATATGGGCAGCTTTAGGAAGAGGTAGAGAAACCAAGTGGGTATATATTCTCTTTTGTTTTATTTCAACTAGTAAGACACTAGACTGATTTGTTTTTCACCTTCAAAGTCTTAGTCTTGAAGAAACTAACAATAAAGGCACAAATAAAGTTAAATTAAAATAACTTTAACAAAGGAGAAAAATATGATAATGTTTAAAAAGATGAATCAAGCAAAACTGAATATAGTTTAGGTAAAAACTGTAACTAGATATTAAACAATTAGCAATTATATACTCAGAATAAGAATATTTAACTTTCAAGGAAAGTTAGGCAGATTTCCTTCTGGCAAAAAGGTAGATCTTGACTTTACAAGACCAAGCACAGCTCAAGGCTCATGACTACATCCTACATCTTTTCATTACTCAAAATTTATCACAGTGGCTGGGTAAAAAATAGGCATCAACAAATGTTTATTGACTGAATATATATCATAAAAGGCTGGTCTAAATCCCTTTACATTTTCTTAGCCAGTGGTATAAAGGCTTTTCAAACCTGTTTTAGAAAACAAACTCTTTTCAAAAAAAGTCTTATGTAGGACTTGAATATAAAATAACAATAAAGCTGACACTGGTTAGATCAAAGACAGTGGAAACTTCACCAGCCTCCCAGCCCCCAAGCCAGCCCCAAGGTATCTCTGTAGAACCCACTGGGAAAACCACCATTCATCTTAGAAACTGACAGAAAGCATGGTCATTCAGTTCTCAGGTTAACTGAGAAAATCACCAATACTGTGGAGGATAAATTCTAAATAATGTTGTTAGTTTAATAAAGACAAAATTCAATAAGAAGGAGACCCTATCACTTAAAAAAAAGAAAACCACACCTAGAGAGGGGAGAGAAATCAATAAAAATTAGGCCACAGTAGATAAAATGCAAAACCCAGCATCTCATTAAAAAGCATTAAACATATTCACATAAATGTTTTACCACCATGATGAAGTAGACTGCTCAACAGGTATAACTACTCAATACAACAGGTATTTCCAAAGAGTCCTAATTTCTTATTTTATAGAAAAATCACACCAGAATTGGAGAGAGGTGCTCCACTATTGAAATGCCATAGTAGGCACTGGTTCATTTAACATGTCAATGCAGGAGTAACTACTAGAATCTTCTACCACTCTCAAAGTTGTTCTATGCCCCCAAAACTGTTCCCCCCTAACATCACTACAAGTTCTCAAGTAAAAACTTCCAAAGGGCAAAGGAACCACTCATTATCTCTAGGCATGCTGATAATGGTAATACCTGGGACATTTACTCTAATCACAAGATAGGCAGAAGTCATAGTGGGCAGCAGGTCACAACAATAGTGAGAGTTTGCACAGGAAAGAGCTGTTAAATTAAGTGGTACTGACCTGGTGCAAATGAGAAATTTTTATAGCAAAGGTTTGAGGAAGAAGATATATTAGTGAGAATGATGAAGCAGACTATCACAAAATAAGGCCACCTTCAACGTATTATAAACTGTAGAACCATTCTGATCTTCAAGTTTGGATTTGTATATAGAGGTTTCTATATAAAGCATTAATACCTACTCATGAGTTTCCTTTAGTATATGAGCCTTTGCATATGATGCTGTTCTCTTCACCAGGAATGCTCATCTCCCCTGGCTCTTCACGTTGCTTGCTCCTTCGATGGCAGGTGTGAGTTCCAGCATCACTTCCTTAGAGGTGTTCCTTGATGTCCTACCTGAACCATCCCATCCGTTACTCTCTGGCACAGTACCCTGTTTATCTCCTTCATAGATAAGTAAGATGATTAAGGATTAGTGTAACTGCTGTTTCAGCAAAGGCAGAAACTGTAGCTGTCTTGTTCACCTTTACCCAAAGGCTAATAAAGTTCCTGGCACATAACAGGTGAACAATAAATATTTGTCGAATGAATAAAAAATTACTATATCAAATTTACATGAACACATACATATACACACAAATATAGGAAAGTGGGGAGTTTCCAATAGAAAACAACCAAATGCTGAAAGTATCGAAATGATACTTATAGATACAGGTGAATATGATTTCCAAGAACAAGTACCAAAGACATCTATCTTCAAAAATATGAATATTTACGAAAAGAGGATCAGGAGTGGTTATTTTCCATTTCTACTGAGATGCAAACAAGAAATGTTTAAACTGCAATGAGTTAACATTAGACATAGTAACTAACTACCTGCTGCAGAATGTACTACCAACAGAGCTTCTGGAATCTCCTCGCACTGCAGAGCATAAAATATGGTCAACCAAATATCCAGGATTAGTTAAGAACTGCTCAGACTGCAGGTAATAAGCTAAAAAAACTTGCTAAATGGCTTCTCCCTCAATTTTTAAAATTCTGAATTCATAATTATATAGAGTAACATTCAATTTATAAATTGAATACAACACATTTTAAAAAACAGATGATCCTTATCTGCTGATCATACCTTAGCATCACTTTTCTAGGTATTTTGCAGAAATAATTATATTTACAAAAGGTCCATTTCATAATACAATATGGTAACTAAATTGAATGGAACTATTCAAATCGAAGAGCAGAAGTTCTGCTGCTGAAATATTTTAAAATACCTTTTAAAAAAGAGTATTTATATTTATAGATTAGCTTTAAAAAAAGGATAAATATATTGAAGTAACTCTAGCATATCCCTGAAAATAATCATATTACCACCTGTGCATTTTTTATGAGGTGGAAGGACAAATCAATAGACTGCTAGGTTATACAAGTCAATTATCACCTGTTGAAATTTGGTGTAAGACAAGGGAACTTACTCGGTATGCATTTTTACTGTACTCCAGAATTAACTGGTGCCAGCAATATCAGTGCAACTATTACTGGTGGTGATGTCATGCTATGCTGTTTTGGTATCAGGACAAAAGTGGGAATGGAGACAAGAGGCTTGGAAAGATTTTCAGTATGGTTTCCTTATAATAACATTTAGTAGTAAATAAAATTAAAAAACACACACACAAAAAGAATGACTGTTTAAGCCCCACTGAACACATTAAGGTCAAGGATTTCAAAGGTTAATCCACTTTTCTTCCCCCAAGAGTTTATTTTTGGTAAAAGGCAGAAAAATTAGTTTTTCTACAAGGAAAATTTGCTTCTAAATGATAATTTGAAAATCTTGATATATATTATATATTAAAAAAGACACACAAAAATAACAGAGAAGTGGGAATAACAGATTAGGTACTATAACTTTATAAAGGCTTGCCTAGATCGAGAAGCAGCACACACACACACCTCATTTATGCAAACTAAAAATGTATATAAACAGCACAATACTGTGATACTGTATCATGATACATTACCTGTACACATAACTACTACTGTTATTAATAAACCTTTGGGACACTCAGTTTTATGCCCAACAAGACATCAGTAAGTCTTTAAAATCTTCTTGTCCTCCTTTATGGGAGGGTATTTCTAGACACTAATTTTCCCATCTAATATTCAAATATAGGAAACAGATTCCACAAGGTGCTTTAATTGATGAGACCTCAAGTGCTGTTTTCTCTCTTGAATTTTTGGATAGTCAACAGTCCATGGGGACCATACACAAATACTATGACAGAAGAGTTGTTACATTAAGTCTTTTGTTGGGACTGATTGGTGACAAAGCTTTATGACATGCTTGAGCAACGCACTGAAGGGGATCCCATCTGAGTTAATACTTTGTCCAACCACTGTAGAGGTCCATTCAGATGAAGTTCAATCCAGCAAGGGGTACTTGTTACTGTCTGCCTTCTGTTTAAAAGAATACAAAAGAAGGATTATGAAATTAAAAGGTTGTATACACTAAAATCTAATTTCTTTGGAATAATAAATTCTGGACATCTGATTATTATTTTAAAAAATGGTTGATCCTCAAAACACTTCCAGTGACTTTTTTTCTTTTTAAGAGATCTACAAAAGTATTAATTTCCCATCAAATTACACTTAGTTAGGTGACCTTATTATTTACCATCCATCCAAAATGGGACACCTTTGAGAGAGAATGTAGGCACTATTAATATCAGGCTATAAGGAGAGCTATAAACCAGGACTATCCCAAGCAAACTGAGAGACACATACGGTTACCCCACTTATTAGTAAAATCAACCACAAAATAGTGGATACTAAAATATCAAACAGAGTCTAAATGGAACACAGTTCAAATTTAAAAGTATGCCAAAACAAAAACACAACTTTGACCCAAGCTAAATCCTTATCAGACAATGTCAGAGTTCAACTTATCCTGACAAAGCCAGTGAATAACATTCCTTTTAGCAACATCATTCAGGCTTTTAATAAAAAACACCTCTAATGCTTCAATAAAAAAGGCTACTCTCTGGGAATTATGTATTCAATGCCATCTTGTCACTTCCATGTACTGATTTTAGTTCTGTCTTATTTGCTATCTAGAATAAGTCAATAAACCTGCACATTTCTACAAAGTAACAGCCCTTCAAACATGAGAAAAGTCCATTATCAAGTCTTCATCTCCAAGCAACACAAGCGCAATACTTAAAAACTTATTCCCAAGGATGTGATTTTCTGTAGCAGATAGTGTCAGTGTCCCCACTATGTCTTTCAGATTTTTCACTGTGCTCTAACCAGTGAAACTGCAAGTATCTGAATTCTATGCCTGAGAACTTCTCTGTCATGGCCACATGTGTAGCAGGCTAAAGGTGTCAGGAAATTAACATCCCCAGGAGCATTCCTCAACCAACTGACATTTACACAGCCAGCACTTCCTTCTCCCCTGGATGGGATAATTCTGTAGGTTCTCTGTTTCCCAAAATTTCCCTGAGGGTGCAAACTCTAGTGACCCACCCACTGTGGTAGATAGCTTAATAATGGTACAGGCTACCTTCCCCTCCCCCTGCCACTTCCCCTTCAGAAATAATTCTTAATCCAGGTCACAGAAAGGAAGTAGGTTGAAGAAGACTGCCACTACACTTATTTGGGCACAACTATACTTGAAACATGATCCATCCCTCCTACCTGTTTATTCACTTCTGTTCACACTTAACTCAGACATATTTCTCTATTTAAAATGAATTCTTCATACATGTAAATTCCTTGTTTACTACATTTCCTATTTATGCTGACAATCAAGCTGGCATTAATGAAACTGAATAATGGTTTTAGAAACATAACTATCAGGTCTACCTCCTCAGCTTCAGCATCATTAAAGGCAAAAAGTTCCTGGTAAAAACCCACAGTTCACAGATGTGTAAATGTTACAGGAAAATACTTGATTATCCAAAGTACCTGACTACAACTACCTATAAAAACATACCATAAGTTGGTCCAAGGGTTGTGGGTTATTGTTAAGCTGATTTAACATTGTCTCCCCCCACAACCACGCTTGACTAGCTAAAAAAAAAAAAAAAAAAAAACATACCATACATTACTCCTTATAATTAGAGATTTTAATTTATCTGTGTTAAAAAATGATGGAGTCCACTGTGGACTATCCACTAATGAAAAATTAGTTTTTGCAAAATTCAGTTATGCAATTGTCAGTACTATCCTTAGAGAAGAGGTAAGAGTTATGAGAGCTGTCTTCCAGTTCCATCTAACCACTTACAATGTGACCCTGGGCAAATTATCAAACTTTTCTAAGCCTATTTTCAATGATGTATTAGTTTGAAACATTTGTTACCTACAAAGATTGCAATTTCACATACTTAAACCTTATAGGGAAAGGAATAACAATAGAAACAATAATTCTTAGATACTACATTTAAAAAACAGCACAGTGCTTGGCACATCAGCAAGTATCCCTTCTACTCCTAAATAAAGTTTCACCTCTTCACCTATATTCATTCAATTCATCTCAACTTATTTGTTCAGCCTCATTTTTCTCTACTTTCTGTACTCCACATTAAACTGCTATTCTATTGTCAGGATTATCACTTTCCCCTCTGCTCACCACCCACCTCTTAAATACTTAAATCTCGCTGATCTTTTAGACCAGATCATGTGCCATCAATAGTGAAAACGTCTCTTTCCATGAACTGACATAAACTTTCAAATACACCCCCTTTATGGTATAACACTTTGCATTACATTAAAATACATACCTATGTATGTTTTAATCATATCTTCTATAATGCCAGCCCAGTTAACATGCAATAGTTTTGAATCCAGAGGCCAACTTCCTTTCATCATTTTACATAAAGATATACTGATTCCATTACCTCAATACACAGATAAAAATGAACTCCAGAAGATGCAAAGAATGAGATAAAAAGAAATTATATTGTGAAAATTGAACTGAATGTGTATTTCATACCGATATTCTGCTCCCCACCCTTTCACAAAACTCATTCTTATGGTGCACATTCTAGTTAGCTGATACACGGCTTCAAAACCCTGATTAACAGACTGAGCCAGAAGAGCAGCAAATTCCTGGTTGTTGAAGATCTTCAGATTACAGCCTATGATTGAAAAAAGTAAAAGAAACTGTGTAAAAGAGTATCATTACTGAGAAGTAATTATAAAACAGCCATAGGTTTTATATCATGCTCATGCTAGAATATGAGCATGCAATCATCTCCTAATTCTTACAATTAGCAACTAGAAAAACTAAGCAAGTTGACATAAGTTTATCTACATTGTTCGATCCATACCTGGTGGAATTTTACACACTGTTGCAGGGTGCCAGCCGTATCTCTGATTGCAATTAGGGCTCTGCACAAAGATTGCACTATCACTTAGGCACTCAGCAAAAACTTCCCCACCTATGTAATACAAGCGCACTCCTCTTCCTAAAATAAAACACACACAGGATTAGTTTATAACATTTACTATTTTAGTGTGACTCTGGAAGTCTTGGAGGAATTCTAAAATGATATAGGGCATTTTACATGACCTTTTTCATACCTGTTTTTCTGAAGTCTAACTTTGAAATATATCATTTTATGTTTTTCCAAGTGTTTTTTAAACAAATTTATTGATTTTTAAAAATAATACATGCTTATCAAAAGTATTTAACACACAATGAATAACAGTACATGAATAACAAAATAGTTTCATATAAATTATACATTATTTTAAAATAAGTTAAAGAAATTAAGTTAATTTTGAAGGAATTGGATAAATATATCTTCATTACAACAGTATTTCACTAAAGAATCTACTAAGGTTAAGAAAAAAAGATAATTAAAAAAAAAAATCAAGGGGTTTAGAGTCATTTGCCCTTATAAAAACTGTATGTTGGCCGGGCGCTGTGGCTCACGCCTGTAATCCTAGCTCTTGGGAGGCCGAGGCGGGCTCAAGGTCAGGAGTTCGAAACCAGCCTGAGCAAGAGCGAAACCCCGTCTCTACTATAAATAGAAAGAAATATATATATAAAAAATTAGCCGGGCATGGTGGCGCATGCCTGTAGTCCCAGCTACCCGGGAGGCTGAGGCAGGAGGATCACTCGAGCCCAGGAGTTTGAGGTTGCTGTGAGCTAGGCTGACGCCACGCCACTCACTCTAGCCTGGGCAACAAAAAAAAAACTGTATGTTATGGTGGCAACTGACTCTCTAAATGTATAAGCAGAATTAGGTAAGAAAAAATTACAGAGAGATTTTAATATACTTCTTTCAGAATCTGACAGATCAAATGCACAAAATAATATGAGATATAAGGATTTTTAAAAACAATTGTGATAGGCAGAGTTCTAAGATGGCACCTAAAAGTGTCAGCCCTGATGCGCATACACCATTATGATTCAATCAAACACTAGATGCTACCGTTAAGGGATTTTTCAGATATACTCAGTTGACCTTAAGAAGGGAAGATTATCTTTGGTGGGCCTGACTTAATCAGACAATCCTTTAAAACAGACTAGGCAGTCCTGAGCACAAGTGATTCCACACAAGAGACATACTCAATTGCTAGTTTTGAAGATCGCGGGGACCACATGGCAAGAAAATGAGGACCTCAGTGTTACAACTGCAAGGAACTGAATTCTGCCACAACTGTGTGAGCTTAGAAGAGGACCTCAAATTCCAGATGAAAACACAACCCAGCCAATACCTTAATTTCACCCCCATTAGACCCCGAGGAAAAGGCCGCCTAGCCCATGCCTGGACTCCTGACCCACAGAAACTGAGAGATAATAAATTTGTTTTGTTTTAGATGTGATAATTTGTTACACAGCAAAAGAAAATTAACAAAACAACCAACAAGCCAGATTTAATAGATAAATGTAGAACCTGGTACCCTGGTTCTGCAATTATACAATATTGTAAAATAGTCAATCATGTACTTGGCCATAAGAAAAACACTGAGTCCACAAAGTAGAGATTTTTCAGGCTATATTTTCTGATCAAAACCACCTATTACACTAGAAATCAAAAGTAAAAAGATGATCTAACTTCCACATGAAACCAAGTAACAGACTGTAGTCACTATCATTTTGTAGTATCAAAAATCACTCTGGTAATCAACATTATTTCTCACAGGAGGTAATGGGTAATAATAATTAAAAGATAGAAGCAAATTATTATTAAAATAAGTTACTTTAAGGTGATGACAATGATATTCAAGCATTAGTAGCTATCAACCTTTTTCACCTCATTGTTAAAAAAAAAAATACTGAGGACCCCAAAGAGCTTTTCTTTATGTAGATTACATTATGGAAACTTACCATATTAGATACAAAAACTGAGATTTAAAAAAATGTATTAATTCATTTAAAAATCAAAACAAACCCATTACATATTAACATAAATAATGTTTACATAAGCAACTGTATTTCTAAAGTAAAAAACTTATCAAGAAGACTGGCAATGTTTCACATGTTTTTAAATCTCTTGAATGTCTGGCCCAACAGAGAGAGAAATGGATTCTCAAATCAGATCTACATTTCATCTCTTACAAAATAACATGCCACGTAACCTCTGGAATACGCCACTGTACACTTACAAGAGAATGAGAGTGAAAATGGCAAACAGCATCTTATGAAAATAGTTTAGACTTCAAGAACTTGCTGAAAGAGTTTCTGGGACCACCAGAGGTCCCCAGACCACATTTTGAGATCCTCTGAATTACATTTTGAATTATATTAAACAGTAGTTCTTGTTCTAGATATTTCAACTCAGAATAATAGGGAGAGGATTTGATTTAATACATGGACTCACTGAAGGGAGAAAAATCCTAAAGATATAAACTAGGAAAAAAATTCATGATTTGTAAAAATTATAACCTCAAAATTAGAACATGGCAATTTTATGACTTGTAGAGACTCAGCAAATTCAAATTATTTCAGCACATAATGAAGGACTTTCCAGTATCAAATAAAGAAAAGTCGAAAATACGAGTCTGCTGACTAAAGAATCACCAGGATCTAAAGCAACGAAGCCTGTGCACTTAACCAACAGAATGAACACTGGTTTTTCTGTGTACATGCTCTTGCATACCACATAATGCCCACAGTATGAGTATATGGCAATGATTTTTACACAGGAAAAATAAAACATACCTATATGCCTTCTTGTCATTTCTACTGTAGCATTTCGGTTAACATTGGAGAGTAAACCTAAGCAGAACCTCTCTGAATTTGATGGATCTGTAAAGCCATCTACAGTGAGTGAGGGCTGTGATGCATGGAAGGTTTCTCCAACCCTCTGGTTTAATTCATAATATGCTATTGAACACCAAAATGCAGGTTCTGAGTAAGTAACTGGCTGCAAATCTGGAAAAAAAATAAAATAAAATAAAATAAAAGTGTGTGAACAATTCAAGACAAAAATAGATTGAATACCATCATCCTTACACGTTCTATGCCAATATACACTGGCAACAGCTCAGGAAGTAGACATAACATTTTTATCAGTTTCTAAAGATCATATCAAATTTTCAATATTTTTAATACAGAACTCCAATTTCCACAGATCATACCAGATTTTCAATTTTTCAAATTTCCCATGTCACTGAGTCACTTTATGTTGGATTATTTGTTTTACTAATAGTTTTAGTCTAGTTCCTGTTCAAAAGTCAATTTGCCCTATTTGGTGGATTTCTAAAATGCATTAAAAAGCTAATTTTTGGTAAGATAAATGATATAGAATAAAGCTACACCAAAGATTAATGAGTCAAAAGCCATAAGAAAAACTGTCATAACAAAAGGATACAAAATGACATATTTTTGACATGTGTCTATTTTACCATGAGATTCTCAGTGAGTTACTCTAGCTACAAAAATAGAAAACCTATGTAATACGTAAGAACCAGAAATTAATAAAACAAAGAATATGAATGTAGAAATAGAAGAATATGGAGTCAAGAGAATACTTATTTCACTGGAAAACTGGATTACATGTATTCAACTTCTGTAATTCTGACTAAAACATACAAGAAATATTATGAACAAAATAAAATCCTGACAATTTTGTAGAATAAATTTCGACCATTGAGAAACTGAAGAGAAATTGTGAAATAGCAAGGTAAAATGAGGGCCAAAAACATATTATAGAAGAGTTCAGTCAATCCCTCACTAGCTGAGGGTACTGCTTCTAGGACCAACTCATATCAAAACCTGAAGATGCTCAAGTCCCTGATAAAAAATAGCATGATGTGTGCATAAAACCTATGCATACCCTCTCATATACTTTAAATCACCTCTAGATTACTTATAACTACCTAATACAATGTAAATGCTATGTAAGTAGTTGTTGTTTTATTTTATTTTTTTATTTTCTAAAAGTATTTTCAATCTGAGGTTGGTTCAATCTGCAAATGGAACCTGAAGATATAGAGGGGCTGACTGCATACATACACACGTACATATCTATACATACACATATTCTCTCACATAAATATACCTCCATACCACATTTGTTATACTTGCGTATGTGTGCATATATTTATACACACTTCTTACATTACCACAAGACATATCATAAAATAAACATACTCATAAAAATCTAGCCACATTAGTTTATAAAATTTTCCATGAATGAAGAATATGATTCCAATGAATAAAAATATTTGTTTCTTATACCCATATGTGCCAGTAGAAAACTTTTAGTAATATTGAGGCACATTATCAATATCCTTTTTAAAAAACACTAAAACCACTTGCATAATTATTAAGATCTCTTTCATATATATATGAAAAATAACTTCCAGAGAGGACTTTTATTAAGTAAATGATACAGTATAAAAATGGCAGCAGGAAAGTATCTGCAACTTACCCAAGCTATGATTAACAGGGGAAAGAGTAGTAGGAGACAGTTCTGCTGGAGAGCCTAAAACAAAAGGATTCAATTTTAAAATAGATGTTCAAGTATTTCCAGAACTTCTGATCAAGTAATAAAATTGGCTGTACCTGGTTGTAATTATCACCAATGATTCACAGACCATTTAAATCCCAATAATTCAAACTATATTAACTATTTTAGTTTAATTTGGGGGGCTTAACATATAAAAGGTACAAAAGGTAATAAAAGTCTCATCTTCTACCTAGCCAGTTCACTGTCCCCAAAGCATCTAATATTGACAATTCCTTGTATAAGCAAACATATTTCTGTTGTGTCCCCCCCATCATATACAAATGGTAACACAATTCTGAACCTCCATATTACTTATAGAGGTTGTTTATGTTGATGTTACTATCAGAGGTTGTTTATGTTGATATGTTTCCTTAGTATTTCCTAGTCTGTTTACCTATCAGTCACCTAACATTACATTATGATCCCATATTGATGGATATGCAGGTTATTTTTGATATTTTAAGAACAAAGATTATAATGACCAATTTTGTACATTTTGCATAATTCCAATTATATGTGAAGGACTGATTCTTAAATTTTGCATAATTCCAATTATATGTGAAGGACAGATTCTTAAAAGAGAAACTATCAGGTCAAAGGGTTTGTGCGTTGGTAACTTTGGTAGATTTGGCTAAAATTATCATTCGTGGAGGCTGTACCAGTTTACATTACAGCAACAAGGTAACAGTGACAGGTGAAAACATGGTCTCAACAGTTTTAATTTGCATTTTTCTTAAAAAATGACACATAGCAGTTTTACATTTGTTTATATTGTATTTCCTTTCTGTAAATAGTCTGCCCTTTTCCTCATTTTTCTATTGTGATATTATTGATCACTTTCCTTACTGATCTTTAGAAGGCTCTTTATGTATTAGGAATATTAGTTCTTTCACAGTATGATTTGCAAATATTTGGTCATCTGTTTTATGACTCTTAATCCTAATTTTGATGATGTAACATTAAAAAAAGTTTACACACTTTATCAGTCATATTGGGGTTTGTGTCACACTTAGATAAAACAGTGGTGTCAGCAGATATTCCTGTCTTACCCTTTACTTTGAAGTAATGCTTTTAGTATTTTTCTATTAAGCATAATATTGGCTTTGAGGCAAAGAGAGATTATTTAGGATTTTTCCATCAATAATCTGAAACAAGCCTGCAGATTTACATGAGTGCTATGTTTGTTGTGTTCTGCGATCAATGTTAGGACAATATAGAAGCTTTTGTGTCTTTTTTTAATGTTCTATGACAGTTTAAATAGTATTGTAACAGCACATTCTTTAAAAGTTCAGGCCGGGCACAGTGGCTCACGCCTATAATCCTAGCATTCTGGGAGGTCAAGTCGGGAGGATCGTTTGAGCTCAGGAGTTCGAGACCAGCCTGAGCAAGAGCAAGACCCTGTCTCTACCAAAAAAAAAAAAAAAAAGAAAGAAAGAAATTAGCTGGATAACTAAAAATATATTAATAAAAAATTAGCCGGGCATGGTGGTGCATGCCTGTAGTCCCAGCTACTCGGGAGGCTGAGGCAGAAGGATCGCTTGAGCCCAGAGTTTGGGGTTGCTATGAGCTGGGCTAATGCCATGGCACTCTAGCCCAGGTAACAGAGCAAGACTCTGTGTCGAAAAAAAAAAAAAAAGTTCAGCAAAATTCTCCTAAGAAAATAGTTAATAATTTTCTAGGGTTTACTGAAACAGTTCTCTATTTTCCTTTATGAAAGTTGATTTAAGATAGCTCTATTTTCTGGAGTCAGTTTTGGGAAATTCTATTTTCTTAAAAAATGATCTGATTCTTCTTCTCACTTTAGGTAAGCAGGCTAAATCTAATCAAGAAAATAAGGAGGCATGAATAATAAGAACCACCGCAGACAATAGAAAAAAAATCACTGAGAGACTATTTTGTTCAATTCCACACAACTCAATTTTAAAGCACATTTGCTGTAAATGTTGTTAAATAACCTTATTATAAATACAGAATATATTTTGTTTTATGACCACCATTCTCTACACATTTAGGGGAAGTTATCTAAAAGAGCATGACCCACAGCTCCCAAGCTTACACCAATGGCATAAATGTAGAAAAAGATAAGATGGTCTGACCTATGTACCTCTCCTTATCACACATCTTTATAACCAAGACAAAAAACCAAGCAACAAAGGTGAAATGGCAGCACTCAGATAACTAGATGAATCAGAAATAGAGAACAGATGATGGAATGTTTTTAGAAGACAGAACATTCTTACAAAACACAATTTTCTTTTTTGTTCCTCAGTTGAAAAATCTGTACAACAGGTACAACTAAGAAAGGTCAAAATGCATTTATAACAATCACCTAAAAAAATTCACTGCTGTTTCCTGAAGCAAGCATAAACTAAACAAAGCCATTATTAGAAACAGAGGAAACTGCCCAGTTATTCCTATCTTTCAACTGTTTATTCCTCTATTAAATACTTATCAGAAGTGACCCATAGGGTCATAGTTCACTAATTTAGACTAACATAAGTTCAGTCAGATGTGATAAGTCAGAATTATAGACTGCAAGAAAGATTATGACATCTTAAAAAGTTAAATTAAGCTAACAATTTATTAGTTAATAGAACCTTTTAGAAACACTTAAAAACAGAGGTAAGTGATCACTAACCTATATATTTACACATAAAATGCCACTACTGAAGTCTAACCTATCATAGCCCTTCCACTTAAGAGAGGTAATAAATACCCTGTTTCAGCCAGTTTGAATCAGCAGTGTTTACCAGCACCTAAAACATCTACAGAAATCTTTGTGCATGTATCTTTGCATACAAGTCCACATATAGTTATAGGACACGTTTCAAAGAGGAAATGTAAGATAAAAAGAGTGTTAAGTTTTTATAAATGAGTGCCAAAATACTCTCCCAAAATGTATAGACTCACCAAGAATTTATGAGCTAGTGCTTCCTGAGATGTCACTACATGTTGAGATCTGCAAATTTGATAGGTTTAAAGGGCACAATTCTTCTTTATTTTTCTTTTAAATACTGTATTCATATTCTTTTAGTCAAGTTTTCTATCAACTACTTTTTCCTCTTGATTTATAAGTTTCTAAATTTAGAAATCAGTTCTTAGGTTTGCCATTCATTTGCAAATACTTCCCCCAGTGTTGTTTTTTGTTTTTTTTTTTTAATCTGCTTTGGTGTATCATTCAAAGTGACATTTTAAAGAAATTTTTAACAGACTTATTTTTTAGGGTAGTTTTAGGTTCACAGCAAAATTGAATGGAAAGTACAAAGAGTTCCCATATAATTCCTGCCTCACTCCACATGACCTCCCCAGTCATCAACATCCTCACACCATAATGGTACATTTGTTATAATTAATGAACTTATTTTGACAAATCATTATCATCCAAAGTCCATGGTTTACATTAGGGCTCATTCTTGGTGTTATATTATGGGTTTTGACAAATATATGTTGACATGTATTCATTTGAAGTACCAAAGAGAAGAGTTTCACTGCCCCAAAAATGCCCTGTGGCCCCACCTACTCATCCCTTCCTCCCTCCTCCCCTCTCCCCCTCCCCCATAACCCCTAACACCACTTATCTTTTTGCTGTTTTCCATAGTTTTGCCTTTTCTGGAATGTCATATATAGGTAAGTCCTCCCTTAATGACATCAAAAGGTTCTTGGAAATTGTGACTTTAAGCAAAATGACACATAACAAAACAAAGTTTTCTCCCCTCATCAATATTATAATGAAATGACATTATTCAATGACATGCTGTACATTGTTTGGATGTATCAGTTTATTTATTGACTCACTTATTAAAGATATCTTGGTTAAGTCCAAGTTTTAGCAATTATGAGAAAAGCTGCTATAAACATCTGTATGCAGGTTTTTCTGTAGACATATATTTTCAACTTGTTTGAGGAAATACCAAGAAACAAGACTGCTAGATCATATAGTTAAGAATATGGTTAGTTTTATTACAAAAGACCATATTGTCTCCAAAGGGGCTGTAACATTTTGCATTCCCACCAGCAATAAGTGAGAGCTCCTGTTGTTCCCTATCCTCACTGGAACTGATGAAACTCCTTCAGCTTTTGTCTGAGAAAATCTCTATTCCTCCTTTATTTCTGAAGGATAGCTTGGTTGGATATAGTATATTTTGGCCAACCTCCTGCTCATGGCTCCCCAAATATGTCATCTTATTCTCTCTCCTGGTCTGCAAACTTTCTGCTGAGAAATCTGCTAGTAGTCTAAGGAGATTCCTTTGTATGTGACATGTCACTTTTCTCTTGTTGCTTTTATTCACAATAGCCAAGATAAGGATCCTGTCAAAAGCTGAATGAATAAAGAAATTGTGGTATATAACCTGCCACTTGCAATATGGGTGAACCATGATATCATGGAAGATACCATGCTAAGTAAAATAAGACAGACAATGAAAGAAAATTCTAGAATGATCTCACATGTGGAATGTAAAAAAAAAAGTCAAATACCTGGACACATAATAAAATGGTGATCACGGGGCTGGGAAGAAGAAATGGGGAAAGTGTAGGTAAAAGGGTACAAAGTTATAGACATGCAGAATAAGTCTAGAGATCTAATGTGTAACATGAAGACTATAGTTATGATATCATATTGTATACTAGAAATTTGCTGAGTAGATTTTAGGTGCTCTTACCACACAAATATACAACAAAGGTAACTATGTGAGAAGATGAATATGTTAATTTGCTGGACTATAGTATCTATTTCACTATGTCTATCAAAACATGTTACACACCTTACAAATAAATTTAAAAATGCTTTAAAAATTCGAATTTACTGAATAAAGACCAACGTGTTCACAAGTCTTCCAGAAAACTGAAAATCTTCCTGGGTTAATCCTTCAATTTTACCCCAATCTAATCCCCAACCAATCATAACCTATTCTCAGCAACATATCTCAAAAGCACCCATTTCTCCCATGTCATCTGAAACCAGCCAGAAGAGGTCC